AGTTCCCAAACAAGCCAGTGGAGAAAATTAAGCCTGGACTCCAGGAGTGCTTGCTTTAATCACTCGTGGACGTCAAAAAGGGTCATTTGATGACAGGACGCTTACCTCACCCGTGTGTGGTAAGCTTCAAATGCCAGATGTTGATTTCAAACCCATGGATAACATAAGCCAAGTTTTCTATCTTAAAACAATGAACTCAAGAATACTCCCTTCACAGGTCCTGATACGTGGGCCCACGAGTAAACTACCCAGGCTGCATTCACCTCATATTTGAAACATTGGCTACAGAGCGTTCAATTTCCTAGTCATTTGGAAATGACAAGTCTAAACAAAAGATACTTGAACCACAAAAACAGTGGAGAAGGGTTGAAAAGCAAGCAAAAGCTTTGGTCATGTTTTACCTCTGTGACATGTTTTAACATTAACAAAAAATGTTTGTGCAAACATTTTTCATGGGGTTTTTCTATTTTGTTTAGTTACATTCACGTTTTAAAATAGTGTTTCCATAATTTTTAAAGAGTGTCGTTTTAATGTGCTACATTTAAACTTTGACAAAGCAAACAGGTACGGTAAAGTAAGAAACTGAACATAGGATCTAATTGGTAAGAGTAATGTATTATACTGGAAGCTACCAGATAATTCACTGTGGAGTTGCTTGTCCTCACTGTTAAAATCTCTAGTTACAGCTTTGTAAGCTTGAAAGGATGAACAGAAGAGGACCAAACTTTACTTCTTGTGTACTCTGGGTCAGGTACTTTTCCAATCTAGAAGAAAATAGGAAAAGAAACATTTCATCTATTTTGATATGGAAATTTAACCATTTCATTTTTCATCTTTTGCTGTTTCAAAGTATATTTTTTAAAAGGCCTGTGTAGTTAATGCAAATATATCTCCTCACCTCAGAATATCTTTTCCTAAGAGAACAGGGAAGAAATGTTTTCCACTTGCTAATGATCTGTTCTCTAGTTTTAATTGAGCCATCAAGGTCTGTTGTAAGGGGGAAAAAAACAAGAGGGGGGAGACGAAGAAGAACTAGCCAGGAGCCAGACATCCCAAAAACCTAATTCTGAGACAAAATTCCATAGGTAATTGCTCCAGAAGCAGAGAGACTGGGCCTGGCAAGGGGAGGGCTGAAGGTTTGTGCTGTCCCTAACCCCCTGCCAACTTGAAAGTGTATAATCAGCTACCCCTCACAACCCCCATCTAGCTCCTTCTGCCCATGGGTCCTGTCCCCCCGCTCTTAGCCCAGGCCTCCTGCCCTGTCTACCAAATTGGCACTCTACTAACCCTGATGCTCTCTCTCTCTCTCTTTTTTTTTTTTTTAAAGATTTTAGAGGTGCCTGAGTGGCTCAGTCTGTTAAGCATCTGCCTTTGGCTCAGGTCATGATCCCAGGGTCCTGGGATGGAGCCCCCCATGAGGCTCCCTGCTCAGTGGTGAGTCTGCTTGTCCATCTTCCTTTGCCCCTCACCCCCACTCATGCACTCTCTCTCAAATAAATGAAATCTATTTATTAATAATAATTTATAATGATCTATTTATTTGAGAGATAGAGAGCAAGTGGGGGGAAGGGCAGAGGGAGAGGGAGAATCTCAAACGGACTCTGAGCTGAGCATTGAGCCTGATGCCGGGCTCCATCCCAGGACCCTGAGATCATGACCTGAGCCAAAATTAAGAGTCAGATGCTCAATCAACTGGGCCACCCAGGTGCCACACTGATCTCTTTTTCCACCACTCCCATCAAACCTCATCCTTCCCTATCTTGCCCCACCCCCAATCTTCTTCAGAGTTACACTGCATATATTCCTCCCAATTCAGGGTTTTTTTTTTTTAGCTTATCTGGCCAGGGTTAGAAGGAAAATAGAGTCAGATGCTATGTTTCTCTCTTGTCAGAGCTTTTTTTATTCTTGAGAACCTACTTTGGAAGTGTTTTTGTTTTTAAAGACTAAATTATTGGGACACCTGGGTGGCTCAGTCGGTTAAGGCTTCAGCTCAGGTTGTCATCTCAGGGTCCTAGGATTGAGTCCCAGGGCTCCTTGCTCAGCGGGGAGCCTGCTTCTCCCTCTGCCTCTGCCTGCCACTCTCCCTGCTTGTGCTCCCTCTCTCTGACAAATATATGAAATATTTAAAGAAAAATAAAGACTAAATTGTTTGTTCTCTTTGCAGTCTTGCTGTAACAACTCTGAGTCTCTATGAGGCACTGTAGATGCTTTTAACTAGAGGAAGAATCAGGAAGTATGGGGAAGAAAGAAGATTGGAATTATTTTTTGTGATGGGAAATACAGCAAACACAGAAAAGTTCACAAAAAAGAAGTATAGTACTTAAAGACTGTAACCCAAATTACTCATGTGACCCCACTGGGTCAAATGCAAAACATTACCAATATCCCAAAAGGCCCCAGTGTATCTCATCCCTTATAACCCCCAAATGCCCAGAAATACCCACCACGTCTATTAGCATATTTACTTTCTTGCTTCACACTCTTTCTAATTATTCATTCTTAAAAATATAGCTTATGCCTGTTTTTGAATTCCTATGTAAATAGAATCCTAGAGTGAGTATTTTTCATGTCTTGAATTGTTTTGACCAAGATTATGTCTTTAAAATTCACCTATGTGGACGTTGTCTATTAGTTCATTCATTTTCATTGCTGAACGTTACTATATTACACTGATCTGTGATTTTTCTTTCTGGTAATGTCCTTCTTTGGGTTTGGCCATAAAAGTTATACTAATTAGCCTCATAAAATGAATTGGGGGATATACTTTTTTTTTTCCTACTCTGTCATTTTTATTCATTTATTCTTATCTTTGGAATCAGATTATCAAGAACCTCCCCCCAATCCCATTTCAATGTTTATAAAACTTTCTTTAATGGTGTGTGTTAATTTCAGGTGCAAAAATATCCTTCCACATGAGCCTTTCCTTCCTGAAATATGGCATAACTCTATATTTGTTCAAGTGTCTTTATACATTCTCCAAAAATAATGTCATTTTCATCATATGGGTCTCAAACCTTATAGTAGGCAGAATTCTAGATGTCCATCCAAGATTACCATCTCCTGGTCAGTCAGTAAAACACTAATCCAGGTACTGTTGTGAAAGACATTTACAGATAGAATTAAAGTTATAAATTATCCTGAATAGGGGCGCCTGGCTGGCTCAGTTGGTAGAGCATCTGACTCTTGATATCCGAGGTGTAAATTCAAGCCCCACGTTGGATGTAGAGATTACTTTTTAAAAAATTATCCTGAATAATCTAGGTGGGCCCAGTCTAACCACTTGAGCCCTTGCAAAGAGAAATTTCTCTAGCTGGAGTCAGTCACTGAGATTTGGCCGAAGAGGGAAGCTGAGGCAAAAGATGAGGCAGAAGAAGAGGTCAGAGATTCAGAGCATAAGAAAGACTTGACCCATTGTGGCCGATCTTGCAAATGGAGGAGAAGGAGCATGAGCCAAGGAATGTAGACAGGCTCTAGAATATGAGAACGTCTCCTGGTGGACAGCTGGCAAGTAAACAGAACTCAGTCCTACAACTGCATGGAAGTGAATTCTGTCAACAACCTAAATGAACCTCAAAACAAAGTCTCCCCTGAGTCTCCAGAAAGGTACACAACCTGCTGATACCTTGATTTCAACCTTGTAAAACCCAGAACAGAGAACCAGCTGAGTCACGGTGTGCCTAGATTTCTGACTTACAGAACAGTGAGAGAATAAATGAGTGTTAGGATGCTAACATTGTGGTAATGTTTTATGGCATCAAAAGAAAGCTTTTTTTAATTTTTTATCATTCAGTTAGCCAACATATATCATTAGTTTTTGATGTAATCTTCAACGATTCATTAGTTGTGTATAACACCCAGTGCTCATCACCAACACGTGCCCTCCTTAATACCCATCACCTGGTTACCCCATCCCTCCACACCCCCATCCCTTCTGTAACCCTCAGTTTCCCAGAGTCCCAAATCTCTCATGGTTTGTCTCCCTCCCTGATTTCTTCCTATTCTGTTTTCCCTCCCTTACCCTGTGGTCCTCCTCGATATTCCTTATGTTCCACATATGAGTGAAATCATATAATTGTCTTTCTCTGCTTCACTTATTTCACCTAGCATAATCCCCACCAGTTCCATCCATGTCAATGCAAATGGTGGGTATTCATCCTCTCTGGTGGCTGAGTAATATTCCATTGTATATATGGACCACATCTTCTCTATCCATTCATCTGTTGAAGGGCATCTTGGCTCCTTCCACAGTTTGGCTATTGTGGACATTGCTGCTATGAACATCATGGTGCAGGTGCCCTTTCTTTTCACTACATCTGTATCTTTGTGGTACAATTGCTGGGTTGTAGGCTAGCTCTATTTTTAACATCTTGAGGAACCTCCATGTTGTTTTCCAGAGTGGCTGTACCAGTTTGCATTCCCACCAACAGTGTAAGAGGGTTCCCCTTTCTCCACATCCTCGCCAACATTTGTTTTTTCCTGTCTTGTTAATTTTTACCATTGTAACTGGTGTAAGGTGGTATCTCATTGAGGTCTTGATTTGTATTTCCCTGATGGCTAGTGATGTTGAACATTTTTTCATGTGTCTGTTAGCCATTTGTATGTCTTCTTTGGAGAAGTGTCTGTTCATGTCTTCTGCCCATTTCTCGACTGGATTATTTGTTTTTTGGGTGTTGAGTTTGAGAAGTTCTTTATAGATCTTGGATACCAGCCCTTTATCTGATATGTCATTTGCAAATATCTTCTCCCATTCGGTGGTTGCCTCTTGTTTACTGTGCAAAAGCTTGATATCCAGATGAAGTCCCAAAAGTTCATTTTTGCTTTTGTTTCCCTTGCCTTTAGAAACGTGTCTTGAAAGAAGTCGCTGTGGCCAATATACACCATTCTAATTAGGCAAAATATTTTTGCTGGCTCATCAAGTAAGCCTGGATGATGATAGCAAGAAGGTCATACTCCTCAAATCCTGTGATTGAGATTGTTTCACCTTTTAGAATCCAGAGTAAAAATGCTCAAGAGAGAGGTAGCCCTGCAAGCTACTCTCAGCTACCGCCTGAAGGTGGGTTTGGTAGACAAGATAAATAGCACCTCGGAGGGGCGCCTGGGTGACTCAGTCGGTTAAGCGTCTGCCTTCCACTCAGGTCATGATCCCGGGGTTCTGGGATCGAGTCCCGCATCGGGCTCCAGGCTCAGCGGGCAGTCTGCTTCTCCCTCTTCCTCTACCTGCTGCTCCCCCTGCTTGTGCTCTCTCCCTCTCTCTGACAATTAAATAAATAAAATCTTTAAAAAAAAATAGTACCTCGGAGCAGTGGGACAACAAATCAGGGAAAGCACAGCAACAAAGGCCAAGAGCTCAGTATACTGCAGAATGAGCAATGCAGCACCTCAATATCTGCTCACTTCAGGGTGGGACTTGTTCATCACACTTTTCTAAAGTAAATGTGTGCTAAGTGTGGTTCCCATGTTCCAATAAAAAAAGTGAGGAAACAGAGTCTAGACTGGTGTGAAATAACTCTGAAAATATCTATATATTTTGATATTGATACTTATCAAGTCTAATAGTAAAGATTCCTATTGTCATCAATAATACATAATTCCAGAGACCATTTGTTCTGAAAGACATGATTTAAAACTAGAACCCAAGGTATCCTGGCATGTAGACAATTCTACGTGAGTTCAATCCAGTTATTGAAAAAGAGAGCAGCATTTTCTTCTTACAATGGAAAAAGATTTCTTTTGCTTATTCTGGAACAAAATATATATAAACTGAGGTTAAAATAAATTCTTGTCTTGGTGCCCAGTAATTCCAAAAGGTGGCATTCTAATGCTACCTAAAAATTAATGATACACATAACAAATCAGGTAGCTGGTGAAACTTGAGTCTTCACTCTTATGCATTTAAAGCTTACACATAAAACAAAGAAGATGTAATGTTAGCTAATTTATACTGAGATTTATTGTTAATATGAGTTATAAGAGTACATGGTGTTTTACAAAGCATAAAATATTGAAAGACAAATTTTCTGCCCTCAGGAGCTTAGTAAAACATGTGTAGCCGTAGCTAACAGGAATTAAGTCATGATGATTTGCAAAGTGACCACCAATGGAAAACTGGGTATAGAAAAAATGTCTTCTAGAAGGAGAGAATTGGAAAATGCCAGGGATTTGTCAGTGGGCGGGGGGAGGAGGAAATTGCAAAAGCTTGAAGGAAGAATGGAAAAGAGATGAGAGAAATGAAAAAGAAAGTCCTAAGAAATGAGGAAAGAGGGGAAAAATGAAGATGGAGGAAAAGACTTGCAACTGTAAGACATGAACCAATCAATACATGAGAAAGACCGTAGAATTGATTTCCTTGACAAACCTCTGAAATTAGACAACTGGAAATCCTAACTATACAACTCATTTTTTAGGAAGCATAAGAGCTAATTTTCCCAAACAGTAGATACCAAACCAAACCTCTCATTCAAGCTGTATTATTCCATCTATAACAGATGGAATATATAAATAAAATTCCATGCAGATCTGAATGTAGCTAAATTGTGAACAACTTAAAAAGTTTAAGGAGGGGCGCCTGGGTGGCTCAATTGGTTAAGTGTCTGCCTTCAGCTCAGGTCATGATAACAGGGTTCTGGATTGCTCCTCTCTCTCTTTCAAATAAATAAATAAAATCTTAAAACCTGTAGAGTTTTGTTCTTGAGTTTAGAGTTTCTTTATATTCTCCGCATATTAAACGCTTCAAAGATATATAATGTAAAACACTTTCTCCCAATCTGGGGGTCATTTTTCCACTCCTTTGATATTGTACTTTGACACACGAAAGTTTTATATTTGGACCATAGGTCTTCTTCTAAGAGTTTCATAATTTTAACCCTTCAGTTTTTTGATCCGTTCTGAGTTAATTTTTAACGTGGTATAAAGTGAGGGTCCAAAGAAGCACTTCTTTAGCCTGATAGAGATTTATAAAATACTTAAAACTCCCTATAAAAACCCTTAAACTGCAGGGTTCAGAGAGCTTCCAGACGGGTGAACAGATGGAGGTGCTGGGAGGGTGGCCCGCCTGGAGAGGGCATGGTAGTTCTGTGCCATCCCTTCTCCCCCATACTCTGCCCTATGCGTCTCTCCTATTTGGCTGCCTTGAGTTGTAACCTTCGTAATAAACTAGTAATAGAAAGTAAACTGTTTTCCTTAGTTCTATGAGGATGTGAAAGAAAAAGTATTACTCCTACATTCTCTGGCCCACAGAGATCCCCTTTCCTGGTCTTCTGGACAGGAAGGATTTCTCTGAGTTTTAGCTGTGTGAAAGCCCCAGCTCTCCCAGGGGCCCACCCTTGGCTTAAGACATGAGCAAAAAGAAGAAAAAATGGGAAACTCACTCCCATACGGTTCACTTCTCCAGGTTTGACTCTCTTCCCCAATCTATCTGCTTTTCTTTAATTTTCAAAGTCCTCGGATAGTTGCTTTTTGTATTTTGTCTAAAGAGAGATTTTAGTTGTAATCATCTGAGGGATAGGATCTAGTAGGCTTTCTCCATCTTGGCCACATCAAAGTTGAGCCTGCATACTTTTTAACTGCCTCTCCATGTGACAATGATTTTGTAATATCATTTTCTTTTTTTCTAAGATTTTATTTACTTATTTGACAGAGAGAGAGAGAAAGAGAGAATACAAGCAGGGAGAGAGAGGCAGGGGCAGAGGGAGATGCAGGCTCCCTGCTGAGCAAGGAGCCCAATGTGGGACTCAATCCCAGGACCCTGGGATCCTGACCTGAGCCGAAGGCAGACACTTAACTGACTGAACCACCCAGGCGCCCCTTATCATTTTCTATAAAAAGTAGAAAGATAATTCAGTCTTCTGGTTGATTAAAAAACTTTTTTCATTATTGGCAGTTTAGGCAAATATTTCAGCTTTGTCTTAATATGGTAAATTTTTAGAATGGCTGTCAAATGTGGAGAAAGTGCTATCAGGTTGTTAGATTCGTTAGAATGTGCTACAAGATGTCTGCAACTTTCAAGTTTCCTTGTGCACTAATTAATCCGAAATATTCTTTTAATCAATGACACTTATTACCCAGCCTTGATATCCTTATTGTAATGGCATGAGTTTATATTACTTTTATCAGAGTAGCCATTTGGAGTCAAATCAACAAGAACTTTAAATCCTTTTTCATTGTGTTCATATAGTTCCCTCCTCTCGTTAATTGGATTATCAGACAATCCTAGAGCCTTTTCAGTATTTCTATTTGAAATGTATCTCTTCCTTCTATTGAATTCCTGCATTTGGTGATTTGGTTATTTGTCAGAATAATTTTTATTGATTGTGTACCTTTTTTTTACATTTGTTTTATATTCCACTAATTTTTTATCTGAAATTATTTTCAGTTCTTTATGAATAGATTTAAAGATGACAAAAGATGGTGCCCTTCTGGGGCACCTGGGTGGTGCAGTTGGGTAAGCAACTGACTGTTGGTTTCAGCTCAGGTCATGATCTCAGGGTCATGGGATTGAGCCCCACGACTGGCTCCACAGTCAGCATGGAGTCTGCTTAAGACTCTCTCCTTCTGACCCTCTCCCCCATATGCTCTCTCTCTCTCTCTAAAACAAATAAATCTTTAAAAAATGGCAATTTTTTTTAAGATTTTATTTATTTATTTAGAGACAGAGCATGAACAGGGGGAGGAGCAGAGAGAGAGGGACAAGCAGATTCTGCACGGAGTGTGGAACCAGATGTGGGGCTTGATCTCACAACCCTGAGATCATGACCTGAGCTGGAATCAAGAGTCCCACACTTAATGGCCTGAGCCACTCAGGTGCCCCAGGTGATTCAAATTCTTAAATGTCTCATGGAAGCATTTTGAAGCGTCCTTCTGAATTACAGTTAAAATTGTGTATTTTATTTTTATCAACTTTTTGAATAAGTTTTTTGCTTTTTTTGTGTTGAGGTTTTTCTTCCCCATCTTTGAGAAATATGTTTTAGGATGCATAAAATGTCTTTGGCCTATGTTGCAAGGCTTTAACAGCTTTATAATGGGTAACTCATTATATTAGACTTTTTTTATTTTATTTATTTATTTGACAGAGAGAGACACAGCGAGGAGGGAACACAAGCAGGGGGAGCGGGAGAGGGAGAAGCAGACTTCCCGCGGAGCAGGGAGCCCGATGCGCGGCTTGATCCCAGGACCCTGGGACCATGACCGAAGCCAAAGGCAGACCCTTAGCAGACTGAGCCACCCAGGCGCCCCTACATGGCCTTTTTTTTTAAATCCAAGTTGATATATGTATGTAAAATACTCCATTTATGAGAGGAACCTGAAAGGAAAATAACTGCTGTAAATGCCAATGTGGTTAACAACTGTGGAGGCAGCTTTTTCTCTTACCAGATTAAAGGAATGAGCTACACATGGTGTACATCCTGCACACTTATTAATATCTTTAAAGAGCGCTAGGAGCCCTTTTCCTCACCTCTCATAGCAGCTGTGTTGCCGGACAACACTGCATGGATGTTTTCGACTGCAGGTTACTATTGTCAAAAAGTTATTTCCCATTACTGGATAAAGCCACAGGCGGGTTTTCAGTTGGTAAAAAAGTTTAAAGCTCTACATAGAGTTTTCAGTCACAGCAGTAGAGAACAATAATAGCCAACTAATCAGTGCTGGACAGAGCCAGCATAGGCCCCACAGCAAGGGGGCAGGATTTGCTGTCTGCTTTATTTATTGGTTAACACTTTCATTATGCGTATATTGTCCTATTATGTCTAGTTGTCTTGTGTTGCATAGAATAAACACAGCTTTTGAGGGCTTTCAATGTACTGATTAAGTCTGAAAACCCATCCAGTATAAGTAAGGTCTGTCTTGTTGAAAATAATTTACCAACAAAACAACATTTATGACCTTTTTTTGCCTTAGAATAAACCCATAAGAGTATAATTATTTAAAAATTTTTAAATATCCTTTTAAAAACATCTCTTTGCCCAATTTATATTCTGTTTGATTCTATATAAATATTATTAGAGTCACAATTTTGAAGGGAAAAAACATCTTTAATTAAAGTATTGGATGACATTAGTTTTTGTAACAGGCCATAATGAAAGACCACAGTCCTTATTAAAGTCAATGAATCATAGGGTCGTTCTCTTTTTAACTTTTTGAGGAACCTCCATACTGTCTTCCACAGTGGCTGCACCAGTTTGCATTCCCACTAAGAGTACATGAGGTGTCCCCTTTCTCCACATTCTCTCCAACACCTGTTGTTTCTAGTGTTGAGTTTAGCCATGGTGACAGGTGTGAGGTGGTATCTCATTGTAGTTTTGATTTATATTTCCTTGATGATGGGTGATGTTGAGCATCTTTTCATGTATCTGTTGGCCATCTGTATGTCTTCTTTGGAAAAATAGTCTATTCATTGGAAAACAGTATGGAGTTTCCTCAAAAAGTTAAAAATAGAACTACCCTATAATCCAGCAATTACACTACTATGTATTTACCCAAAGAATACAAAAGTACTAATTCAAAATGATACATGCACCCTAATGTTTATAGCAGCATTATCTACAACAACCAACTATGGAAACAGCCCAAGTGTCCATTGACTGATGAATGTATAAAGAAGATGTGGTATATACATACAATGGGATTACTCAGCCATTAAAAAGGGAATGAAATCTTGGGCCACCTGGGTGGCTCAATTGGTTAAGCATCTGACTTGATGTCGGCTAGGTCATGATCTCAGGGTCATAAGATGGAGCCCCAACGCAGGCTCCGTGCTTGGAGTAGAACCTGCTTAAGATTCTCTCTCTCCCTCTCCTCTGCTCCACACCCCCACACTCATATACATGCTCTCTCTCTTAAAAAAATAAAATAAAAACATTTTAAAGAATGAAATCTTGCCATTTGCAATGACATGGATGGAGCTAGAAAGTATTATGCTAAGCAAAATAAGTCAGTCAGAGAAAGACAAATACCATATGATTTCACTCATATATGGAATTTAAGAAACAAAACAAAGGGGAAAAAAAGAGAGGGGGGGCAAACCAAGAAACAAACCCAACCATAGAGAACAAAATGATGGTCACCAGAGGGGAGGTGGGTGGGGGGATGGGTGAAATAGGTGATGGGGATTAAGGAGGGCACTTGTGATGAGCACCAGGTGTCGTATGGAGGTGTTGAATTACTACACTGTAAACCTAAAACTTTTATCACACTGTATGTTAACTAACTGGTGCTTAAATAAAAACTTAAAAAAAAACCTCTTCTAAAATATTGACAAGAAAAAAAATAAAGTCAATGAAGTCATCAGCCTGAAGCTGCTGTCAACCTTTGTTGACTACACAATTCTATTTTGCTTTACCATTTTCTATTTCTTCTGCTTTTTTCATTTCCTCTTTGGAAGTGTCCTGATTCTCATAATCTTTATCTCTTCTGTTGTGATTTTAATAATCTATATTTTCCTGGCCCTCATGAATGTTTCTTTTCTGCACAATTTTGACAGTTTTAGTGGAAATCCCAATGTAATAAGATTGTTTTTGATACTTTGAGGATTTGTGAATCTTTCATTTAAATCTTTGGCTTCCGAAAGGATACTTTCTTCCAGAAAAATCTGAATGTTAGAATAATCAATTAATTCTAAAAAAAAAAAAATTTTAACCCTGAAGTTAAAACATGTGAAGGAGCAATACAAATGCATTTTTAAATTTGTTACTGTATTGCGATGAGCTGGAAGATGTGTAACTTATCGCTCCTATTACCTACACTGGTTTTTTGATGAGTATGTGCAGGAGTTTCATCACTAAAACACTTGTGTGCTCTCTGCCTATATCACTATGTTAATGGCAGATTTGCATACCTAGTTTCCTAAACCGCAAGACTTTGTCAGGCTAAGATAAACCAGTTAGGCTAAGAGAACTAACAGTACATTGGGATGCAGAAAATCCATAGAATGCTTGTAATTTTAGTGTTGCTACAGGTAGGTACCCTACAAACACAGGAATTCTGATAAACAATTTTGCACAATTCCCCTCAAAAAAGAAAAAAAATGTGAAGTATGTATAATTGCATATGTGCATTATCAAGTACATTTTGTATAGGAAAGAACTTTTAATTTCATTAGATGTTAATGAGAACTCAACCCTCCACTTAGAATTTTACTCATCTGATGAGTGAAAGAACTTTCCCCAGACTACCTTCTGGCTCCATACATTGCAAACCTTGTGTCTGCTCCACTAACAATTTTTTCCCACTACCCAGGTCCCACTCATTTTTTGATAGCCTGTGGCCTTGCACCTTCATACCACCATGCCAAGTGAGTCAGAATGGACAATGGGAGTATGCCTAGAAGTTATTCTTAGCCTGAGAAGGCTAGCCACAGGAGTGGCTATAAACCATGTAAATATATCCCACTAAACCCCAAAAACACATCTCCAACTATCCCTAAGCTGGATCCCCAAAATGCCTGAGCCAACTGCAAAGCCACCTAATACAAGGGAAAATGTGAAGGAGGGAAAACCAGAAGGGAAAGATACAGCAATCTTCATTGATTGACATTAAATATCTTACTTGGGCAAATCTTGCAGACAACATATGATCCTGTGAACACGTCATTACAATCCCCGTCAAGAAGCTTTGTAGCAGTTTCCTCCAAGGAGTCATGACACATCAGCCTCCTCAGCTTCATGGTAAATCTGCCTGTGGACATTACTTCCAGGCATTATCCACAATTTCCTCCACTGCCTGTGCTGTCTTATCCCTTTTTCTGCTCCTGGCAAATCCCTACCTTTCTTTCAGGGCTTGATTCAAATGTCAATAATTCCCTGAGAAAGAACCTTGTGCATTGGAAAGAAATGGGGCTTTGGTAAAAGGCAAATCTAGGTTTCAGTCTTAGCTAGATCACATGCTGTTTGTGTGTCACAAGCAAATTACTGACTCCTTTGAGCCTCTACTTCATCTATAAAATATGATAAGAATATATACCTTGCTGACTTTGTAAAAAAAATTTTTAATTAGCATTTTATCAATCCTATTTTTCTTATTTTAATATCTTTCCATAGAATATTGGGAACATGGGGAAAATGGTGCTTAAGAGAGGTTGTAAATTACTTATTTCTCTTCTTTTTTTTTAAAGATTTTATTTATTCGTTTGAGAGAGAGAGAATGAAAGAGAGCACAAGAGGGGGGAGGGTCAGAGGGAGAAGCAGACTCCCTGCTGAGCAGGGAGCCCAATGTGGTACTTGATCCTGGGACTCCAGGATCATGACCTGAGCCTAAGGCAGTCGTTTAACCAACTGAGCCACCCAAGCACCCTAAATTACTTATTTCTCTTCTAACAGCATTTTATGATTTAGGTGATCGTCAGGATTGACAGTACGGTGAAGTAAGTGAGGTGTTCACCTCAGGTCCAAAATATAGAGAAGTGTCAAAGGACTCAGTAATCAATATAAATAATAATTTAATTCAATATTTTAAAAAATCAAACAAAAGAATTCATGATGAATAAAATATCAAAAATTTAAATAAGGACAGGATCAGTGTTACTGATTTTTCCTTTTGCCTTAGGCCCCAGTATGGTTCACGTTGGCACTGGTGATCAAAACTTGATGGAAGAGAAAAAAGGAAAAAGAACTTGATGGAAGACTTTGGAATATTATTTCTCTTTGTAATGGTTCATAGCAAATTTAAATTATTCTCATCACATTCAGTTGTCTTTACAGATGCCATCTTTCAACGCCCCTAATATTAATTTTTCTGGCATTAACGCTTGACCCTCCACAACAGATGAATAGGAGCAAATTGCCTCTGTTATATCTTAGAAATATTGTTGTACTATTGAGAAGTAACTTACTGTTTTGGAAATCTTTCAATCATTTCTATTGAGATGATATCACTGGAGAATGCACTACTCCATTTTTTTCGTACACTGAGGCTGTTTAAATTTCACTTTCAACCTCTTGCAGAATGGCTCTTTCAGAGTACTTCAGAGACCTTATGCTTCCTTTAGGAATTCTACCTATATATCAGTAAGTTATTCTTATTTTCCATCTAAATTATTTAGCCCAATTATTTATGACTATTTCTCTGAGATGGTGGAGTAAAATACCTTAAATATTCTACTTAAGATGTGATTTGTAATGTGTACTCTCATACACTGTTAGTGGAAGTATAAATTGGCAGTTGCTTAAGGTCAATTTGAAAACAACTACAAATTTGAAATATATATAATACATATTTTATAATTAAAATAATTTTTTAAAGAAGTAGTTTCTTCTCATTCTATCCTTCTAGGTGAACGAGTACAGGGTCCCTGGCTTCAAGGACCTCATACTTTAAGGGTGAAGGAGAAAAGAATGATATCTTGTGCTCTTTACATAGAGCATATTTTTAAATTGTTTTGAGGTGTGTTTTCATATTTTCAATATTAATTATAATCCATTATTATAACCCACGCAAAGTATGAGCAGAATCTAAAAAATTTTGGAATTGCTTTAATTCTACATGTTGAAACTGAAGATAATTTTGTATTAAATGTAAGTAAATCCTCAAACTAAGAATAAATGAGTTATTATACTATTCACAATATTTCCCTTTTTTAATTATTTTATTTTTTTAATGTTTTAGTTATTTAAGTAATCTCTACACCTGATATGGGGCTCGAACTTACAGCCCTGAGATCAAGAGTCGCACACTCCTTCAACTGAGCCAGCCAGCGCCCCCATTTTGTTTATTTTTGAATGGATAACACATGCATGTGATATAAAATTCAAAAGTTGCAAAAGGGCATAGAGAAACATTAAGTGTCTCTCTCACCCTGGCCTCGGGTAGCATAGTTCCCCTTCCTGGGAGGCAACCACTGTTGGCAGTTCTTGGGTTTTTCAGATATATTTTATGAATATATGGATATACTTCTTTCTCTTTTTTCTTACACAAAGAAACACTATCTGCATATATCTTAAGAATCAATTCTCAGCAGTTTCAGTGGCTGCATTCAATTGAAAGCATGTAGCATTCTTCATCTAGTCTTCATTAATGGATATGTAGGTTGTTTCTGATCTCATACCACTACAAACAACACAGCAGTCTAAAACCTTGTGCTTGTGCCATTTCTTTGTGTGTCAATATACATCTGTAAAGGATACATGTAACTATCCTCTCCATAGGTATTTCCCATTACCCTCCATGGAGATTGTACTAAATCATGTTCCCACCAGGAGTGTGCTTCTTTCCTCACCCTAGACAACCAAATGTATGATCACATTTTTATTTTCAACAGTATGATAGGTTTTAAAAAATGGTATCTCATTGTAGTTTTGCATTTTTCTAATTATGAGGGAGGTTGAACATCACTTCATGTGTTTTTTCTTTTCCTTGAAAATAGATTTAATCTTCTTCAAATTACAAATGTTCTAAGTCTCTCTCCAAAACCACCTCCAAAGTTCTCCTTTTGACAAATGAAGAATTTTCCAGGGAAAAGTTTTGAGGAGAGTAAAAGAAAACATCACATTTTTTTTAGTGTTGATCCATCTAAAGGTACATAATCAAAAATTGTCAGGTGTCTGGATCATTCCTTCCAAAGGAAAAAGGCGGAGGGGAGAATCACAATTACTGCTGTGATTTGAGAACATTTTTATCTACCATGTTAGTTAACACTGGCATAATATGCAAAGACCAGGGGCCCTCAAGCACTTCATGTGTTTAAGAGCAACATTTACTTTCAAGATTCATTACATAAAAAGAAGTCAAGATTTCCTTCTAAATTTGATTAGACTTCCCCCCCTTGGTGAAAAAAACTCCCATTGAGTTGTAACTTGTTATTGTCTACCATTTAACTATCTAAACTAACTAACTCAATCAATCAATCAATCAATCACTACAACATCTTAGAATATAAAAGCAGGGTTTTCCCACCTTTCCTGGAAGAATTCAAAAGTTTATGTTTGGATTTAGAGCATGGAATGTTTCACTAAAATTATCTATTAGTAAAGTTGGAAATCCTTCATTTTATTTTGTTTAAAGATTTTATTAATTTCAGAGACAGAGAGCACAAGCACGAGTAGGGGGGAAAGGCAGAGGGAGAAGCAGACTCCCTGCTGAGCAGAGAGCCCCATGCGGGACTCGAGCTCTGGTCTCTGGGATCATGACCTGAGGCGAAGGCAGACGCTTAACCCACTGAACCACCGAGGCACTCCTATATCCTTCATTTTAATTGTTTTTTATAAGTCAGTGCCAAAATGCAAAAAATATATAAATCCCAATGAAAAAAATATTTCCTTTAAAACAATAGCTTCCATATTATTAAGTAATGATAAAGCAAACTTCTAAGACTAAGAAAATCTTTCCTAATGAAAGCTTGTCTTTAGGGACTTTCAAACATTATTATTGATGAGTAATATAAATATAGTATAAGTTTTAATGCAGAATTCATAAATAGAATTGTTGCTAGTGTTACGATACCAGTGTAAATAAGTATTATAAATGGATATCAGCAGTAGTGTTTCTCTCTGTTCTGTGTCAACTCAAAGTCAACATTAAATCATTATCTTTCCATCTTGCTATAAAAATGAATTTTATTAAATAGAACCTAGCACTTAAAATGGGTCAAAAATCTTAGGACTTTTCTAGTTTGTATTGATCATATGGAAATTACTCAGTATCTTAGAGTTCTAGGTACAAAATATACTTTTTTTAATATCATTATTTTGGAAAATTAGTCTTTCTACTCCCTACTATGCACCCCACCCCATCAGCTTCATACAGAGAAATAACTCTCTCAAGTTATAGATAGGGGAAGCCTATTAATCAGTCTGGCTGGTCACTGGAGTGAAAGATGTCACTGCCAGATCCTCTGATACCCTGTATAGTGACAAAGACTCCTGGAATTGAAAAGTAGCCAGATCAAGGAGTCATTTAATCCAGACCTCTCTCTTCCTGCAAGACTCTGCCTGAAATGTCTAAGACAGATGGTTTGTCCTTAAAATTCAACAGGGACAGAGATTCCACAATATTACTCTGGAGCCTTTTCTAATGTTTAATCACTATTTCTGTCAAGTCAGTTTAAGCTCTTTTCTGCTAGTTTTTCCTGTGCAGACATGGAAAACAGTTGGTCGGCGACCTCTTTCTAATCACCTTTCCAGTGTGAAAAGACACTTTCCAAGGTGCCCTTCAGCCTTGTTTTTTCAAGATTGTATCATTTATCTTCTATCCATCTTTAATATATCAATATTTATCTCATTAATCATTTGGATTACTTTTCATTAAACCCTTACCATTTGTTCTGTATCACTCCTAATTTAGTATTATAGCAAGCTCTTTAATTGTATTGTGCTTTTATAAATTTTAATTATTGTAGGACAAGGTAACTACACTTTCATTTATTCACTAAATAAGTATTTATTGAGGGTTTTTTGCCGGCAAGAAAAAGATAGGCAAATCTCCTGCTCTCTTACAATATGTTATGATATGCATTCTAATGGAAGAAATCAAAAATAATTAAAAATGGATCTATAATATAACATTATGATAAGAATAAACTATCTTGTAGTAATTAGAAAAAGACCAGACTACCATGCTAGAGACCCAACAATAACCAAGAGGTTTGAAGAAGAGGTTTACTTCTTACCTAACACTCCAGTGTGACTGCTTTGGATCATCAGGAAGTTCTGCTCCGTGAAGTCATTGAGAGACCCCAGTCCTTCTGTCATGTTGCACCATCATAGCTTAGGTCACTGTCATTATCTTTATAGTATAAAAGCTGAGTCACTCTGAGTCCCAGCCAACAGGAAGGAGAACGACAGTATGGATGGAGCTCTCCTAGGCCCAGAAGTGGCACACATCACTTCCACTCTGTGCATTAATGAGAACACAGTTGCAGGGCCACACTTGACAAAGGAGGCTGGGAAATGTAGCCTAACCATGTACTCAGGAAGAAAAAGAGAATAGATGTTAGGGGACCAGATAAGGTGTGGCAAACATTATCAATGTTTCTCCCCAATACCTTCAGATCCCTTTTTTTAAGATTTTATTTATTTATTAGAGAGAGAGAGAGTAAGAGAAAGCACGAGAGTGGAGTGAGGGTCAGAGGGAGAAGCAGACTCCCTGCTGAGCAGGGAACCCAATGAGGGACTCCATCCCAGGACCCGGGGATCATGACCTGAGCCTAAGGCAGACCCTTAACCGACTGAGCCACCCAGGCGCCCTTCAGATCCCTTTTTACCTCTTTGTGTGTTTCTGCTTCCAACAGCAAATAATAGGCTGGTTTTTGGAAGATGCCCCAGGGAAACTGGATTTCACCGTGCCAACACTGGAAAGTGTCTAGGAATTTACTTCCTCCCATTTTACCTCACCCAAGGGGGACTGATGGGTGCAGGAGTATGAAAGACCATATTGAAGTATGTGAATATTAGACTTATTTGTGTATTGGAGAATTACTAGGTTTTGTCTGGGTAATTGACTCAGAAAGATAGAATGTTTTAAAAATAGGTTTCTCAGACATTTCTGCAAAGAAGACATCCAAATGGCCAACAGACACATGAAAAAGTGCTCAACATCACTCAGCATCAGGGAAATCCAAATCAAAACCTCCATGAGACACCACCTCACACCAGTCAGAAT